TATCTCTCTCAGGCTCTGATACCACTGTTGCAAACTGGAACTTGAAAACAAAAGACTGACTCAATTTTATTACTGCCAGACTTTTCATACGTTAACTAATAACATGCTTTGCTATAAATAGCTAATCACCAACGGCTAGCAACATGCTGCAACCACTAACTCCTAAAACAAATGCTACCAACCAAAGTAGGCCAATACAACAACAAAATAGAAACAGTAGAAACTCCCTGAAGACTAGAACCACTTCTTGACTTTTCCAACAATTTTCAGTACTTTTGCGTTGGTCTTTATTGTGAACTTCAGGTGTGTTCCAGTATTCAATCATTTAGCTTCAGGTATGTTAGCTAGAATAAATCGATATGAACAGATTTGTTCAGTATTTTCATTGATATAGATTAATCTTCATTGTTATTATTCTTGAGACCATTGATGGCACTGTAAAACAACTGGAGTTGTAATTATCATATACTTATCATGTACATAGACTCTATCGGAAATACAAGTTAAATACATTTTGATGCATTAACGTGATACGTTTTGAGTAGTTCTTCTTAGCAACATTTTTTTAATCAACGCTAATTTTTTTATTTTCTATTTTGATTTGATTTTGTGGATATTCTTGTACATTCGTGAAGATACACATGCATGTAGGCATGCATGCACACAAAATTGGCAATAAATAATTATTCAGTTGGAATGAACTTCCATATTCCCTATTTCAATTCAAACACTTCTTCCTTTATCTATCCGTCGCTTCGTCTATCATGTCTTTGCCCATCTTTCACACAATCACAAAGCAATTTATATTGATGTCGAAGGCCTCATATTAGAAAAGTTAGAATGCCCCTTCTCTTACTTAGATTAGCAAACAAAAGAGGACAATTCTTGTATGGAAGTATAAGGTTTATATGAATTTGTTTCTATAGTTATATTTAATTTTCTCTACTGGTTGACCAATTGCTAGTATTTTCTTGAAAGGTTTGAATTGGGGTCTTGAATATGTTGTGAATGTACTCTCCCAAGGTGAATCTGTTCTTTCTATTTAGATTTGTTTGAAACAGTATGTTCCATTAGAGCTCTCTTTCTATTTCTTTGTAATTTTATATTGAATGAGTCAATTCAAAATTGATAGTAGGTTGGATTTGATCTGAATTTTTTTAATTAGTCGGTGTGATGATCGAAAGTGTGCCAACTTTACAAGCCGAGGTCTTTATCTACCATTATGTGACATAATGTTAGACCTAGCAATCAGTATTCTTTTCAAGTGAAATCTATGATGATAATTTACTGTGAAGTCCAATGATTTTTTTTCAAGTGAAATCTACTGATGGTTGATCTTTAGATGGGTTTCAAGTATTGTGTGGGTTATATGTGTGTTTTCTTCCATTTTCATATTGAGTCAGATAATTTTTGGAGGTTTTCATGGATGTTTTAATTTTTGATTTACTGAGATTTTAATTCTGATGAACTGAGATGGGTTCTGACAGATAAGTTTGATTTGTTTTAGTCTTTGCAAAATATTTTTGGTTCAATATTTCATAATTTATATCATTTTTGTATATTGTCATTATGTTTTTTTCAGAAACAAACAATGAAAATCAACAGCGTAGTAATGCATACCATTCTTGACTTAACCTAAATTACACCTAACTAGCTTTGTACCTAATGGACCCCTTGCTTATATGTCGGTCTGTAATTTCGTGTAAAGTGGCACTTTGGCTCCATAGGATTTATTTTTTTCTTCTTTAAGTGTATGTGTAACAGTTTTACCTAAAATTACATGATTTCTGTTTGTTCATTTCTAATGGTCGAATTGTGCAGACTTTTCTTGAATGGAGAAATAAAGAAGAAGAAATAGAAGTTAGCATTTCTCCCTTTCAGGATGTGATGGTGTACTGTCAAGAGAAAAGGAACACTTTGAGCGTATTGCTTTATAGGTTACTAATCAACTGTTGTTAGTGTGATAAGTGCAGCCAAGAAGTTACAATTTCTCAAACTTGGGCTAATTTCTAATTTGGTTAAGATGGTTAAAAACTTGTTTTAGGGGTTGATTTGGCAAACTAGAGTGATTAAGAACTGTATTTTGTTGTTTGGAGTACGCAAAAATCTGCTTGTAACTTTAGTATTGATGTGAGTTGCTAGCTTAGCTTTGCATAATGGTGTTATTTGTGTGATGTTTGTCAAACAGTAGCATATATCACATAAAATATTCTGTCCAACTTCTTGTGAGCCGAAGAGGGGCCGGTGAGGGTGCTCTTTCATCCTTGGCTACTTTCTCCTCTACCATATTATAGCTCTGTCGTTATCTAGACATATTTATCTTTTTAGTAGGTTCATTTGTTCTCACTACAACAAAAATTATTTTTTGCGACGATTTTTTTCATCACAATAGCTTCATGTTAAATAGGTTCATTGTTTTTTTTTTTTCACGTGTTCATCACAATAGCTTCGTCGCAGAAAATATTTAGCGATGCAATTTAATTTAAAACGTCACTAAAATTTAAAAAAATGTCGCTAAAATCTATTCTACAAGGGTAAAATGTAAAAAAAAAATAATGTAATTAATTTTTCACGAAATCAAAAATCGTCGCAAATACTTTTTTTATAAATAAAAAAGTAAAAAATAATAATTTAATTAATTTTTTGCGAATAAAAAAAAAATCGTCGTAAATAATATTTTACCTAAATAAATAATAATTTAATTAATTTTTTGCAACTTAACAAAAATCTTCGCAAATAATTTTTCATAAATTAAAAATGTAAAAAATAATAATTTACTTATTTTTTCGCGACGTAAAAAAATCGTCGCAAATAATATTTTACATAAATAAAAATGTAAAAAATAATCATTTAATTAATTTTTGCGACCTAAAAAAATCATCACAAATAAGTTTTTATATAAATAAAAAATATAAAAAATAATTGAATAAATACATTTGCGACGTAAAAAAATCGTTGCGAAAAAGATTGGTTATATAATTTTTCGCGTCGATTTTGATTTCGTCCCAAAAAAAATAATTTTTTTTTAAAATAATTCTTAAAAAATAATATTTCAATAAAAATTTTCACCTGTATATCAATAATACATGTGTTCAATAAAAAACTAACACAATTAATACATTTCACATCTTTCTCATTAAACAACGTAAACAAACTAACATCAAATACCATACTAACAAAAACATAAAATATAATACACTTAATAAAATTTATACAAATCATCAAAATATCCAACAACATAATCTACATACAAATTTCCCAAAATATTTTAATACATAACCAAAACATAATTCGTAAGTCACTTTAATGTAGAAGTCTAGAATTCACCTGTTACAAAAAAAAAAAAAATACAACATGGGCGACTTTGATAGCTTCCTCTGCAGCAACAATATAAAAAGTAAGAATGCTTTGCTCATAAGGTTTTAGAATGGTTGGTCGGTTTAAGTAGATTCCCAAATTACTGCCATATCTTTTCAGGATTGCGACACATACGTACTGGTGCAGGTGCTCGCTCAAATAATGTGTCCACAACACCTCCCACAAACGCATTGTTTTTTCGTATTCAAATTCCCTGAAAAACACGAGGGAACTTAGTCATGAAACAAACCGATGAATTCAGAAGATAATATCAAAATATCACATTCTTTCTTGCAGAGCATACAGATAGCTCTTGTGGAAACTAAAAATAAGGGAAATTCAAATTCAAATGTTTTAGTATGATGCAGGTGTTTCAGGATGTTTCTTTTGTAGTTTGGGAATCAGAATTCAAACTTTTTCTATTTCCAGTTTGTTTCCGCAACGTTTCTGTCCCCGATAAGTTTCTATTTCCAAGATGACTCAAACTATGTACCAAAACCAGATTTTCACTGTATAGATCATACCCATGAATCACTGAAATAGAGAAGTGCTATATCATGCTGTAATCCTTGCAGGAGAAAGTTAGTTTCATATAAGTTGATTAGGGGCTGCTTGACAACTAATTCCCTGTTGAAAACTGGAAAAAATTCTGTGGTTTGCTGAATTAGAGCATCACATGCAACTACTCATCACTTAAGAAGTATAAAAATATTTATTTGGCAAGGTCTAACATACAAGACTGTGCAACCCAGACATTTCAGAATGAGTCTCAAACACACTCGATGCTGTTTAAAATTTAAGTTCTATAACTCCAGTGCTGCTATTAAAGAAGTACCAAAATTTCCAGTTTACCAAACAATTTTTTTGATGGGACAGTTTACCAAACAATGACTAAGGTTCATGACAAAATTATTTATTCATAAAAAACTGTATGGGCAAAAATGGGGAAGTAGGGGTAGGGGAGCAACCTGGTTTACATCCATATATAAAGATGCCAACTTACATTCACAGTTCAAGAGAGAAAGGGGACACAAATGACCTTTAATATTAATGATAATCTATCAAACTGCCAAAATGAGAAGCAAAATAAAAAAAAGAATGCAGTAGAAAAAAGATTGTATGCATTCATCAACACAACCATATTTTCAGGAGAACTCATAATTTTTATATAAATCATACATCAGCCAAAAGAGTGAATCAGCACATCATGAGTTATAGATACTAATATTCAGGATGTAATTTAATAGCCTTCTCAAGGTTTGCAATCAAACCCATTCCTTGTTCAGACTTTCACAAATGAAACTTTTTTGAACAAGTGTCACAAGGGCCCCATAGCTTCTGTAACACAAGATTAAAGTTTCATAACTCATGCCGACTTGTGTGACCAATGCATCACAACTATGATGGAAAAACAGCTGAACTCAAGTAATAGGGACAAGGCTTACTTGGGTTCGGAGATTAGCAAGTGGACATAAAAGAGAGAAAAATCCTAATGATCAAACACATGGACCTAAGAATTAGATTTGTTCATTTTTGTTTTGAACTGAACGAATGAATGAGTTTATCATTTTTTGTAATCTAAGTACATGCTATTCCTTTAAAATATTACATAAAAATTGACAGAAAGAGAACAAGGAACTTACCAGTTGCGAAAACACTTCAAGCACAATGAATGGCTGCAATTAGGCAACACAACCTTTGTATTAATTTCCATGCAAATTCCGCATTCGTTTTCTATCTCCCAATCAGTTATAGAAAGTTTTCCCTTGTCCACATCATCATTTCTTGTGTACCTGTGCAAGCATGTCTCTTTCTGCTTCCTATCTTCCAAATCAATAATCCCGGTTTGAAGTTGCAACAAAGAGGGAATATTATAGCTGTTCATAAAGAGTCAACTTGTAAGAACATAAATAGTGTAATGCTAAAAATAATACACAATTCGCAATTTAAACCAATCACTTAGAGCAAAAAAATTTAACCGTAGAGCTTCAACATTGTCATTTACACAGATCCCACTCACCATAAAAGTCTCTAATGCTTGCTTTCCTTTCATATACAGACATCGTGGTTTTACCATTGGTGTATGTCTGCATCATTCCACAATTCGCCGCATGCCAACAAGAAAGTTATATATGAATTATATTATTGTTGAAAGGAAGGGTTTATTGTGGTTCAACAAATACTAAGGATAAGGAAAAATAAAGGGATGAAAATATCTTTGGTGAAAAGGGCAGATATAAGTACTATTGAAAAGGGCAGATAGTTCACCTTCATCAGACACATCAGAGGTTCATTTTATCCCATTTTCACAATTTAGAAGATCATAAATAAGTATAATTTACAAGCACTGTAACTAATGTGACACAATACCATCCTGTTTTTCATCTTCAAGCACAAGAAGCTTAATATCCGTTTCAGTTCACTATCATGATCCAGATGGTATACTGGGATTGGTAGTTCAATATATCCAAAATGACCTGAAATGAGAAATAGAGAAGAACTTCAGCCGTATTTTTGTGATTGCATAATAAAAGTAAGATAATTGCTCACTGTCCACCAAAAAGCAAACCAATGCAGCACTCAGAAGCAGACCAGAACATACAGAAATCACAGACCAACTGCCGAAATAGACAATATCTATGCATTTCAGTACCTGACTCTTTATTACAGACAACATCCTCTGAATTCTCAACAGGCAATTGCCTGATCAATGGAAAACCCTTCTCAGCAGATTGCATCATCACAGATGCTGCATCTAAACAGAAAACTCTGCCTTGACCATCTCTGGTATCCACCTTGTTCCTGCACAAATTTCAGAAACAGCAGGGATTTTTTGATGCAACACCAGTCTGCCTGATCTGGCAGACACCACCTTCCCTCACTTTGCAGAAAACCCTGATGCTCTGTACATCCTGCATTCACCTCAAGCTCTAGCTCTTGGATCACTAATTGAAATTCTTTTCAACCTAGCAGAAGGTATATTAGACTGATCCTGAAGTAAAAGTAATCTTCCAGTCAAAGGCAGAATGCCACTGACTAAATGAGACTTTATGTGTGTGTATGCGTGTGTGAGTGAGAGAGAATGAGACTCACGTTGGAGATGGCTGTGATGTTAAGATCCACAGTCGCTAAGACGAAGAGACAGAGGCGCAGAGGACTCCAGGAGGCAGAGCCGAAGACGAAGAGGTAGAGATGGGAACTCACATTGGAGATGACTGTCGTTAACGAGGAGGAGAGGCGCAAACGAAGAGGTAGAGATAGGAACTCACGTTGGAGATGACTGTCGTTAATGAGGAGGAGAGGCGCAGACGAAGATGCAAAGGCTAAGATGATTTAGGGCAAAGGCAGCCTGTTGATCAATTCCCGCTATTTTATTTGCGGGAAAACTAAAATTGCATGTTAATAACTAAAATTTATCAATTCTCGCCATCATTTTATCTAATTGAATTTAAATGTTAATTTGATAATTTAAATGTTAATTTGACGAATTGAGTGTCCATTGAATGAAATTGAAAGTTTATTTTATTAATTTAATGTTAGCTAGCTAAATCTGAATGTTAATTTGATAATTTAAATGTTAATTTAACGAATTGAGTTTTCATTGAATGAAATTGAATTGATTAATTTAATGTTAATTAGTTGAATTTGAATGTTAATTTAGTGAATTAAATACTTATTAGAAAAAATTGACTGTTAATTAGCAGATGTTGGGTGTTATTTTGGTGTTAACTCGATTAATTGAATATTAATTTGATAAATTGAATGTTAATTTGATAAATTAAATTTTAGTTGGATGAAATTACATGTTAATTTGATAAAATTGTATCTCAATTTGATAAAACTGAATGTTAATTTAACGAATTGAGTATTCATTGAATGAAATTGAAAGTTTATTTTATTAAATTAATGTTAATTAGTTGAATCTGAATGTTAATTTGATAATTTGAATGTTAATTTAACGAATTGAGTGTTTATTGAATGAAATTGAAAGTTTATTTTATTAATTTTGAATGTTAATTTGATAATTTGAATATTAATTTTTGACGAATTGAGTGTTCATTGAATGAAATTGAAAGTTTATTTGATTAATTTAATGTTAATTAGTTGAATTTGAATGTTAATTTAGTGAATTAAATGTTTATTAGAAAAAATTGAATGTTAATTAGAAGATGTTGAGTGTTAATTTGGTGTTAATTTGATTAATTGAATATTAATTCGATGAATTGAATGTTAATTTGATATATTCAATTTTAATTGGATGAAATTACATGCTAATTTGGTATTGATTTGATGAAGTTACATGTTAATTTTGATGAAATTGTATGTCAATTTGATAAATCTGAATGTTAATTTGACAATTTGAATATTAATTTGATGAATTGAGTGTTCATTGAATAAATTTTTATTTATGTAAAAATTTATCGGCGACGTTTATACAAAAATATCGCGAAAACTTAATTAAATTATTATTTTTTAAAATTTTTAATTTACGTAAAAATTTATCAGCGACGTTTTAATATAACCGTTGCGAAAACTTAATGAAATTATTTTTTAACAATTTTTTTATTTATGTAAAAATTTATGGGCGACGTTCCACAAAATGTTGTGAATAATCAATTAAATTATTTTTTTAAATCTTTTGTTAGCGTAAAAAGTTTATTTGCCATGGTTAGCAAAAACGTCGCAAAAAAATCAATTCAATTGTTTTATTTTTAAATATTTTTATTTCCAAAAAAGATTATTTGTGACGTTTTCAAAAACGTCGCAAAAAAGATTATTTGTGACGTTTTCAAAAACGTCGCAAAAAATCAATTTAATTGTTTTATTGTTCAATCTTTAATCCACGTAAATATTTATTGGCAACATTGCAAAAAATAAATTGAATTGTTTTTTTCTTTAATTTGTTATTCACGAAAAAAGATTATTGGCAACATTTTCTAAAAACGTCGCGGAAAATCAATTAAATTATTTTTTTTAAATCCTTTGTTCATGAAAAAAGTTTATTTGCCAAATCAATTAAATTGTTTTTTAAATCTTTTATTCATAAAAAAGTTTATTTGCGACGTTTTCATAAAACGTCGCGGAAAATCAATTAAATTGTTTTTTCTCCAATTTTTTATTCACAAAAAAGATTATTGGTGACGTTTTTTAATAACGTCGCAAAAAGTAAATTAAATTTTTTTATTTTAAAATCTTTTATTCATGAAAAAGTTTTTTGGCAACGTTTATAAAAAAGGTCGCAAAAAAATAATTAAATTATTTGTTTAAAATCATTTATTCATGAAAAAAGTTTATTAGCTACGTTTTCTAAAAACATCACAGAAAATCAATTAAATTATTTTTTTCTTCAATTTGTTATTCACAAAAAAGATTATTGGTGACGTTTAAAAAATATGTCGCAAAAAATTAATTAAATTATTTTTTTTAAATCCTTTATTCATGGCAAAAGTTGCCAAAAAAATTGTTTTTTTTAAATCTTTTATTCATGAAAAAAGTTTATGGGCAACGTCGTGTGAAAACGTCGCGGAAAATCAATTAAATTTAAATCTTTTTTAAATCTTTTATTCACGAAAAAAATTTATTTGCGACGTTTAATTAAAATGTCGCAAAAAATTAATTAACCAATTCCCGTCATTTCTTCCTCCAAAAGTCAATTAAGAGAAAAATGCCTTTTTTGCGACGTTTTCTAAAAATCATCGCAAAAAAAATAAACAAAATTAAAATTTGCAACAACATTATTTAATCGTCACTAATAGTTAATTTTTGGCGACGAATTAGAAATCATCGCAAAAAAAACGTCGCAAAAAATACTTTTTGTTGTAATGTCTAATCATAATTTATCACACAATGAGTATTTCATTTCTGCATATTGGTCCCATGGGTGCAGAAGGATACAACGTGAATATACCATGAAAATGATTACGTTTATGTGTTTCATGTGGTGTTTTGTAAAGGTACATCTTAATCTTTTTAAATTTTAATACAAAGGAACATTTGTTTTTTATTTATTTTGGTCACTTGTTGATTAAGTCTCTAGGAGAGCTAATCCCCTTGTGAAATGAAGAATTTAGCCATATCTCCAATGTGACCTCAATTGACGAAGTGTTGCAACATTTAGTTTCTAATAAAAAGAGAGAGCCTCCGTCCTTTGTTTTTTTCTCTTTATTTCATTATTATGTCTATGACAGTTTGCTTCATTATAAATTTATTTTTTATTCCGACTGTCATTTGTTTCCGTCTCTTTGTGTGCGTGGTGGATTTTGCAATAAATGTGAGATTTTTATTATTTCTCTTTTTGCAGAAAATCTCAAAATTTTTGGTGCTTTTGTTGTACTTTAAAGCGGGCCAATAGGTAAGGATCTTCTTGATGTCACCAATGATGTAGTCATCTGTGGTGCTGGGAGCAAAGTTGATGCGCGCACAGTAATCTCCTTTGAATAGGTATGCCTCATCAGTCCTGTGCGAAGCAAATGCGGCATCAATTCCACTTTCAAAGATGGTGTTTTTCAAACTAGGAAAGCCACTGATTGATGAGATAGATGGCGATGAGGTGGGAATCATAATCATAGTTTATAAGAGCACGCTGATCGCCTTTGAAGAGGTAAGCTTCATATTTTTTAGTTGACTCAAACGCGGCGTCTACGCCGCTTTCAAACACCTTCTTTGTGAAGAAAGGGAACATTGTAGCGATGGTCGTTGGGCCTTTAATTATCTTGTTATTTGCAATGTGTGGTGCATAGTTAATCTGTGCACAGAGATTCTCAGAGAAAATGAATGCTTGATCCTTATGATGAGACCCAAAAGCACAATCTATTCCACGCTCTGCAAACGCTGTGCCCCTGAGGGATGGATACCTAGCGCCAATAAGAAGCGGTCCAAACAATACCTTGTCGTCTATTGTATCTGGAACATAGTTCACTAGCACATACTTGTTCTGCATGAATAGATAGACTTCATTTAAATGAGACGAACGAAATGCAGCATCTATGTATGACATTTTCTTCTCTCACTTGTACAATTAATTTAAAAGTGATATAAATCATTATGCTCATTAGTAATGATCACCAAAAAAATCCAAATGTTGTTTCTGATCATGACCAACTCAGACATGGTTAGTGTAAGACACAAATAATAAGGTACTTGCACTGCATATGTTTTATTAGAATTAATCTTTCATATTACATGGATATCATAAAAGCTAAACAAACATAATTGCAAATCCATCTATAGATTTTTAGAAATTAGTAGTCAGTACAAAGAAAACCTTAACACATGCTAAGAGAATGTTCTCAGAAAGTCCCTATTGATAATTAAGAACATAAACTAATACCATAATCTCAAAAAACGTAAGCATATTACAACCCTTTTTCTTTTTAACACAATAATATACTCTTGTTCACTGGAATTTGCATGTCACCATATATATATATACAGACTGCACCTAGTGTTTGGTCAAATAATATACCAAAACCATGCTATGATCTTGCATGAAATAACCAACATGATACAACTTCAACGCAGAGTCACCAACACAAGAGATTAAAACTAATATCAACAAGAGACAATAACATAAAACTACATCACCTTAATCGAAATAAAATCCAACAAACTTTGATAGATGATCGATGAGGAAATCTGAGGGACTAGGGGGTATATATAGTAGTTAAGCTTTAGCCAAACATCAACAAGAGACACTAACATAAAACTACATCACCTTAATTGAAATAAAACCCAACAAACTTTGATAGATGGTCGATGAGGAAATCTGAGGGACTAGGGGGTATATATAGTAGTTAAGCCTTAACCAATATTGCTAGCTTAAGGTGCAGAAAAGTCTACAAAAGAGGTCTACATTTTTCTTCATGCATAATAAGTCCAAAACTGGTCCACCACAATCTCATCACTTGAGGTATATGTAACATATTTCACATCACATATGGTTCACAGCTGGAAGATTTGTTCTCTCTTATCTCCAAAGAGAATGAATTCTTTACGGTGAGCCAGTAAATAATTTCTTTAAAATTTGACAGTTACACAACTACATAAATCAATGTTAAGAAATCTCAATAAGTCTATGTAACTATTAAAATTTGATTGAATGTCTGTAAATAATTATTTATAGGCATGCCGGTAAGGAATTCTCATCTCCAAAATGAATTTGTTGAACATTTATGCCTTGGTTTTGTCCAAATTTTTTTTTTCGACTTAACCTGGCTTTGTTATGGGATTGACATAGGCCTCATTATTGGTTGGGACTTAAGGTTATTAAGAAATGTCAATTCATTTTCAAAAAAATATAAATATCGATACGAAACTACTTTCGGTACCGTAATCTTACTCCACAATGAAGGGTAACATGCAACCCATCCGAATAAAAGGTTTTTTTTTTTTGCTTGTAATTCGAATAGGTCATTAAGAAATGTCCATATCGTATTGAATATAAGAGCAATCAAGGCACCTATTTTTCTCTATTTATTTTCTTTCCACTCTTCCAATCAATCTATAATAGTAATAAATTAAATTAACCAAACATAAACACCACATTAATGAGGGTAGTTCTATGATACTGAAGTACAAAAATATAATATTTTTATAGTCAATTATAAATTTCTCGTAGTAGGTTATAATTTCATTTTTCTAAAATACTAGTACAACAAAATAAATTTAAATATTATTATTTTTATAAAAAATATGAATTATGTATAATTAAATTAAATAATAAATTAAGTGTTGAATAATTAATTTTAACTATTGAGTTATTTTATAAGTTTTTGAGTACCTATTTTTTTTTTCTTTAGGTATTTCTTCGATCCTTTTAGACATTTGCACATCTAATTATATTATATAATTATTAATTTTTATTTTATTAAATAGATTGATTAGATGATTTATAATATTATTATATTATTTTATACCAAAAAAATAAAATATATCACATATTGGACCATAGAATTCAACATAATAAATTCATATATATAATAATTTAACCGTGGAATTCAACTTAGTAACTATATGTGTATAATAATTTAACATCTATAGAAATAGATAATTGTATGTAACTATAATAGTAATAAATAAGTTCAAAATAATTTAGAAATCCTTACAAAAAATTCCAAAATAAATTGAAAGTCAAATAGATGTAAAAAACATAAATTAGAAGAAATTATATATATAATTGACTTTATAATAATTAGAGATAAAATAAGAAATAAAAAAAAATTCTCAAATACTGACATTTTTAAAAATTATAAATAATTTTATTTTTAAAAACTATAATTTTTATAATCAGTCATAATATTTTAAGATTTATCATATTTTTCCAGTTATAACTTATATCACAACATGTTATAATTCCACCTTAAAAATTTATAAATTTCAGTCGGTAAACTTGGTTCACAAATGTGCAACACGTGAGAGGGTGGGGTCAACAATGGACAGGGGTTATTAAGAAGTGTCCACAACAAGCTCAGCTAAAATCAACGTCCACGTCGCATTGATTAATATTATTTGAATCTAAAAATTTAATTAAATTTATTGATATAATGTGATTTTAGTAGAACCATTAGATCAACATCAAGTTTCAATGTTTGATGAGTCGTACAGTTAATCTAAAGGTCATAGTGAATTAGGTCAGTAAATTATATCTTAATAGCATTACTCTTAAAATAAAACTCAACTAAAATCAACCTCAGCTAAAATCAACGTACAATTATATTATTTATTAGAATAAAAATAAAAAATAAAACAAAGGGCTAAGTCATTCATGAAAGAAAATGAATTTAATAACCAAAATTTATGTTTTATTATATCATTTATTGAAATAAGATCAAAAATAAATATCTAATTTTTTCTTAAAAAATCATAATTAGCATACTATTATATTGTCTATTAGAATAAAACTAAAAAATCAAATAAGTGATCAAACTGTAATTGATATAATATCTTCTAATTTTAATTGGGATAGTTTGGTAGTTTAATTTGATCATTTAAACGACCAAATTAAATTTCAATAGATAGTATAATTATATACCAATTATGATTTTTTAATAAAAAAATAGATTTTTATTTTTGATTGTATTTCATAAATGATACAATATAATATAAATTTTAGTTATAAAATTTCAAATATTTGATATTATATCTTTGATTAGAGTATTTTTGGTTCAAATATAACATTTTAAATTTGATGGGTTTTAGTATTGTACGTCGATAAACTTCAATGGGTCTGGATGTAATTTGCTAACGGATAAACAAAGGAACATTGACGGCAGATATCTAGGTGTTAAACGTATATAAACTTCAAGGGATCTGTATATAATATTTTAAATTTTAAAAGTCTAAGTTATTAAGTAACAAACATGATGGAGTCTGAATATTTTAAGATCCATTATAAATTTCTTTTAATAGGTTATAAATTTATATTTATAAAGTACTAGTAATACACAATGTATATTACACGTAAATAAATCTAAATAATATTATTTTTATAAAAAAATATGAATTATATGTATAATTAAATTAAATAATAAATTACGTGTCAAATAATTAATTCAAATTTTAATTATTGATTTATTCTATAAATTTTTGACTACCTAATTTTTTTTTCATTTATTTAGGTATCTCTCCGACCTTTTTAGGCAATTGCATATCTAATTATATTATATAATTATTAATTTTTATTTTATTAAATAGATTGATTAGTTCGTTTATAATATTATTATATTATTATATACCAAAAACATAAAATATAACACACATTGGACATTGAAATTCAACCTAATAACTGCATGTGTATTATAATTTAATTGTAGAATTTAACTTAGTAACTACTTGTGTACAATAATTTAACATATTTTAGATATAGATAATTTTATATAACTATACTACTAATAAATGAGTTCAAAAGAATTTAAAAGTCCATATAAATTAGATGAAAGTATATATGAGTGGTTATAATTGAATTTATTATAATAATTATAGATAAAATAAGAAATAAAAAAAATAATTCAGATGCTGACATTTATAAATGGTTTAAATAATTTTATTTTTAAAAATCATAATTTTTATAATTAATTATAATATTTTAATATTTATCATACTTTTATAATTACTTATATCACAACATGTTATAATTCCACCTTAAAAATTTATAAATTTCGGTATGTAAACTTGGCCCACAGATGTGCAACAGGTGAGAGGGTTGGGTAAAAAATGGGTCATTAATGGTATGTCATTAATAAATGTCCACAACAACCTTAGTTAAAATCAACGTCCACGTGGCATAGAAGAAGACCCATCAATTCAGCTACTCTTGAGGTAATGTCTCAAAGTTCCCCCTTTTTTTTTTGTAAAGTGAAATCACACCGTCTTAATTGATATTATTAGCGGTGCTTGTAAAATTATTATTAAACGGATTGAAAGTATGCGATGCCAAATCTTGCAGCCCATGTGAAAGGGTTGTGTCCACGTTCGACAAGGTCATTAAGAAATGAGATTAAAGTCCCTATGGTATTGAAGACTCATGACTTCCCTCATAAACAATTCAATAACACCCCTGGGTGGATTGATAAAAATAAAATTAATTATATATAAATGAGTTCTTATTACTACAATGTGAGTAACTTACCAAAAAAAAAAATTAATAAAAAAATATCAAAGATTACATAAATCTGACAAGGCAATGCCACTTTGATGAAATAATGACTTAAAACGGCTTCTATTGTTTTTAGGTAACACAACTTTCCTTAACAATGAGTTTGAATGATTTTTCAATATCTTTCTCTTTGTCTCTCTCTCTAGGCTAAGATAAACGGATTCCATGTTTTTGGAAAAAAAAAAAAGAACTTTTATCTTATGTACATATATTTACGAATAAGTTTACGTTGAATTTTATTTGCAAGACTATGTAAGTTAGCATAAACATGAGCTATGATGTGGTATCTGATTCAAATAAATTCCATCACTTTACTATGCAATCGGATAAAGTTGTTTACAACTGCTTAAATGTTGGTGTGGTTTTTTATGAGAAGTTGGGTCCGGATGGACAAATCAACAATACTTAACAACTATTTTCTTGAATGATTGTTGGATCTATCGCTATAATAAAGGGAGAGGGAGGAATTTGACGCATACAACTTATAATATTGCTTAATTAATTACTGATAACTCTCTATGACATACCTCTTCGTAACTCTTCTAATCTCACTCTCTTACAATTGTACATATAAAGTAATCGTGTACAAAACACATTAGCAATTATAAAAAAAAAAAATTCCCATTCGTATGTAATTGCAATTAGTACTCTTACTTTCGGCGAAAACTGCAATTAGTCCATAGCATATCCTTTGATCCTTAATAGTTATGATGTTATTTTTCAATCAATTTAGCATTACCCCTTCCTTCGTCAAGCACAGCACTTATAAACTATCACAGATTCTGCTGTTACACCCCAAAGCTTGGAGCATTGCTAGAATTGCTTCTTCCTCATTAACCAAGACTTAGGGATGTAAATGGCTCATGATATATCGTGTCTTCCATTTAAATTATTTAAATTGTATTGTAACAAAGTCTCTTCAATTCAACTTCGATCCGTTTATAATTGTGTGTAAACAGATTTATGTCAAAACGTCCTATATTGTATAGATTGTATTTGGTTAGGTTGAAATCAATTTATTTTCTTACATGTCTAACAAGTTCACCCACTAACTAGGCCTAGCCAAGGCCATCGGAATTATTTTCTACTATAATGTTCATGAAACATCAAACTCAAAATCAATCTGGTGGAACACCCAATAAAAAATGGATTTTTTTTAAGGCTGGTATACCATAAGACACTTATTTATAAAAAAACTCCTCGAAAAAAATATTTTGAAAAGAAGTCCATCTAATAGTGAAAAAGAGTGGTATAACCTTGTATACACTCTTTGATGATGACGATGATATGGCACTAATGAAAGCATTTTATGAGCATCAAGGGGATGATCTCCTTTCAAAATTTAAACTTCAAAGAGAGCATTCACCCACCCCTCCCCAGCCCAAAAAAAGATAGATATTTAGGCAATTATTCAAAATTCAAAAAATCCTCTCCACCAATTACATCATATCAAAAAAGAAGGTATTGTAGAAACCTGTTTATATTCTACAACGATAAAGATACGGTTTCAAAAACACAGTGTAACAACATATTAGACACTATTCTATGTTATGCTGTGACAAATAATGTGCATGTAAATTGTCTGACTGTTACACAAATTAAATGTTATGCTTGACACAGTGTAACATCCCAATGTGATATAAAAATAATGAGTTGGTTGTGCCAAACACTGCTTGTCACTCTATAACAAATACTATGTCACAGTGTAACAAATCCGTTGAGACGTCTATGCAATAATACTCATAACAATATGTGAATAAGATTTCCTAAATGGAACGACAAAAATCACAATGATAATAGATGATTGATATTGCTGACTGATGAAATAATCGGTAATGACTTAGATAGAAAACTAGACGTTGAATATGAAGAAGAAGATATACGTTCAAAGTTTAAATGTCATCGTCAATTAAAATAGGAATCTGTTGATATAATAAAATCAAATCTCACAAATAAGATAACTGCATAAAAACATTGTCATTGAATGATGGAAAAGGGTATTTAAGTAAAGGAAATATTTAAAACAAAGTCAATGTGTATCTAGATGAAAGATATTTACAATTAGGAGTACTTACCTACAATAGAGTTTTCGCAGTATTTTGCCACAAATAAGTAGTTTATATAGTACTTATCCACAATTTTTTGATAAAAAATTATCCCAACACTTGCTTGTTAGGCACATAAGTCGGTTTTTTCAGATTGTTTTTTGACAACTTCACAAGTGGCATAAATTAATTGAGAACATACACTATTTTATGTTGCATATGGCAATAAACAACTGTATTGACTTCTATATTTTATATTTCATCTTTTTTGAATCTCTAGTTGTAAATTTAAACATCTTAAGTTCAAATTTTGACAACCTTTTGAGAGCAGACCATTAGAAATTTAACACTCATAAATACCATTATCTCGGCATGAATGATTTACCTTTGACAAAATTGAGGAGAGAATTAATGTATACAGATACAAACAATCCTGATTGTTAAACCTCAAAAAAAAAAAAAAAGCTGAATTAGAATTTCCAATTTGAACATGCACTACACGGTACTATCATATGGTGCTTGGTGAGCACTAAATATTTTCCCGTTTGTACATCACTTGCTTATGTTGTTTTCACTTCAAAATGGCATTCTTTTAATAAAATTGTTCTTCTAAGATTTACAAAAAAAAAAAAAGTATTATAAATTTTTATCTATGGCAAAAGCATTGTAAAATCCGATTGATGCTTGATTTGATATCTATGAGATCATCGTTGTTAGGAAATGAAAAAGAACTTGAAATCTTACCCCGGCCAGCCTGAGTTGCGACGTCCTTTTTTTCTTCTCTCTTGGCTTAGTGGCTTGCCATTTTCCACCATAAAATCTCAACTGCACTTCTACTTCTGCTATCTGTATTCAATTTGAAGACCTCGACCTTCCTACTCGTGTGAATTTAAGGAGAAAAAAATATTAAATGGAGAATGGCCCTATTCGATCACCTCCTTGAAAGAGACTCTAAGGTCAAAAAAATTATTAAGAAATGTCCACAAGAACCTTTAAGATCCCAAAAAAATAGTCTATATGTGGAGAACGAGTGGCCAAAATTTTGATGTTTTATTTGAACGGGGTCATTTTCATTTAGATTTTATTTTATTTCTTAACTTAATTAGTAAATTATTTTATTGTTATTTTTAGTTTACTTAGGATGTTACTTTATTTGGTTTCCTAATTTATTTAGGATTCTAATTTCTTAGTTGCTTTAGGGTTTTTACTACCATTTAAAGACTTGTAAGCCTTAGGGCAAAATAGTTTTTTGATGGATTAATAATATTGAGAGTTTTCTCTTTTCTTCTCAATTATTCTGATATTCATAGGAATCAATAAGTTTTTTAAAGCTTTTAAAATTGGTATTCTCCGTGAATCAACAGGCCAATAGTAGGAATTTGAAATCTTGGTGGACTTTTTTTTCCCCTTTCATTAATATTATTCTTTTGTTTTTACCCGCTTCCTTGCATCAGTTGATAAAAGCGCTTGCGATCTTTCCTACACCATGTCACTTGGGAAAAATCTTGGTGGTCGGAACACATCTGTTAACAACATGACAATATATGGTGAGGTAACTCGATTAGAATAAGCGGTTAGTGCGTTGACCATTCAGGTCCACAAATTCATGGATGTTTATCAATGTGCCAACCATATCCCGTCTCATTTTGTGAGCAATAAGTTACCTAGTGTCAAACAGGTTTCCCCAATCGTTTCCTTATTTGGGGAAAAATCGATCCTGCTTAGTTTCTTATAGAGTATCAGAAATCAACGATACACGTGGATGGAAGACCGAGAAGAGGTCATTACAACAATAAAGTTGTTGCTGCATTGATCCTAGAAGAGATTCAAATTTTTGATAAGTAACCGAATAAGGTATTTTTTTGATGCCTATTCATCTTCTCCACAATCAGAAATTGATTGGGATTTACCCCCAATTTTAGATAACTATCCAGAGGATGACTTATGTTGTACTTTATTATATAGATACGAAGTATATCTTTCACAAATTATGGAAGGACTAATTCGCTCATTCACTGTCCCAAAAGTTTATTTTTTTTTTTTTATTTTCTTGTTAGAGAGAAACGGTAAGCAATACATCCCATGAGTTTGATTCTAGGAAATGTTATAGTTTGTGGACATGTTTGTCACTGATTATTGGAGTCAAAGCTGTGCAATTAAATATTATGGCATCTTTTATCATAATTGGTCCCCTAATTTACAACGTGGCATATGTATCCTTCTTCGATCAACAAAATATTTGAAAAATAATGTTATTAAGACTTAATTTAAAATTTTAATGTATTATCATTATTAAAATAATAGTTAATTCCAACATTAAATGCATTGGAACAGTGACAATACATTAGTCTTCGAATTAAGTATAAAATATTATCATTGATATTAAAGCTGATAAGAGCATTTGATGTGGCCAAAAGCGGGAGAATTGGGTTAATGTCTCGCTCTATGTTTTCTTCAACCAATGCTTGCTACCAAGTTTTCGACACCAATTTTAAAAATAAAAAAAAGAAGGGTTAATTATAAAAGGTCCCTTTTAATTTTGGATAGTTTGCAACTCACTCTTCCAAGTTTTAATTTCAACAAATAGCCCCCTTTAAGTTTAAATATTTTGTAATCAACTCTAATAATTATTTTTAGATTATAAAAATTGAAAATAGTTAGACATTTCAAATTACACATGTAAATATTCAACCAAAAGAATATCAATAATTATATTTGGATCTAATTTGCTCATATATTTATTGACTTAATTTGTTGTAACTATTAAATTAACATAAAATTTTAATTTTTGATGAGCCGTATGGTCAATCTAAAGATTATAATGAATTATGTCGATCAATAAATTAAATTTAAATAACATGACTCAATAGATAAAGGGAATCACACAACTTTTCATTAGGTGGCTATTATATCAAATGCATAGTAGTTATTAAATTATGTAGGATACATTTTCTAACTTGTGATTTTTTTTTTTAATTTGACCGTGATGTCACATAACAGTCATAACATAACACATTATAATAGTAATGCACACTATTCAAATAAAACTCAAAAAATTATAATTCAAATATATATCTTTTTTTGGATGAACGAGTCTCATCGAGTTTTTTAGTGGAATTCAGTCATCTAACATTTATGATATATTTTTAAGTTACAATATTTGGATTCTATTTATGTTGTGTAGCATTTTTATATTATAATATTTGCTTCATATTTTAGGACGTGTTGAACGTGAAATTCAGTAGGGCAGGTCATATCTTTCATGGCATACTTGAGTTGGTCTTGCACTTCTCTCACCAGCTTCACTCCTTCCTGCAACAGTGCTGCTCCTCTGGCAGCTTTTTGGGTAATGTTCTCGAACTCAAGATTTGAATCATCGTGACCTTCGAGAATCTTGAATAGATATGCGGAATCAGATATCTCTAGACCAGCCTCAAACGTTGAATCCATTCTTGTCAGTTGGCTCAGGCGATTGCAAAGAATAGACCTCAAATCCCGGAGAGGTCCACTTGTTGTGTGACGTTCCAACAATCTGCTACTCCGACCAATGACCAAGTCCCTAAAATCGTGATCGGTTATATCATCTGTAGAAAAATTAAGACGAAAAAGTTAACACAAGTCAAAAAGTGTAAACTGACGGAGAAAACTAAAACCAAACTATGTTTATGGACCGAAAAAGGTTTGTCTAAAACTAAATTAATAGATAAACTTAAATATCTATTCAAATATTTTTAAAAAAATTCTTATTATTCCAAAGTTTTATTTTTGTTTAATTTTTTCTATCAAAATATTTTATAAAATATTAAAACTTGTTTCTTACAAAATTTATTAATATTAACCAAAAGCAAAGACAAGAATACCAACTTCTTTAAATGGTAGATTCGTGAGTTTTTTTACATAGAGAAGAAAAAAACGATAAAAAGAGAAAAAAAAACAGAGAGTAAAAAGTTACTCTCAAACAATTGAGGTAAGTATAAATGGTGTGATCAACGACAATGACAATGACAACGACATCGACAACGACTTTGAAGAGAAAGGTAAGAGAGATAATAACTTTTTCGGTGGTTGTAGTCTTTTGGATTTATATAAGATAAAAGGTTGTGGTTGAAAATGTGATATAGGATTTAATTCAATTTGGGTGCAAAATAATTTTTGTTTTTATTTAATATAAATTTGGATCTAAAGTTAGAAAAAAAAATTATGTCATTTTAACTCAAATTTAAATTTAAATTCAAATTTATGTCAGAGTTGGAAATGATCCAAAAAATAAAAAAAAACTAACAGAACAGAGGCTAGCTAATATAGCTTCTGCCAGCAAAGACCTGGCGGCGAACTTGTGAAGGGGAAAAGAACAGCAGATGGGGGGGGACTCGAATTGATCCCAGCAGGGACTTCCCCATCACTTATTCTCTGCCTTTTGTTGTTGTCGTTGTTGTTGACGGCGTTGGAAAAATCATTGCGGAAACCATCTCTCCCTCTCTTGAGTGGATTGTTTGCGGAAAAATCATTGCGGAAACCATCTCTCCCTCTCTTGAGTGGATTGTTTGCGGAAAATCATTGCGGAAACCAGCAGGTTCAGATGGGATCGTTGAATATTCGGGGCCACTTGTTGTCTGCCTTTTGTTGGACGAATTGATCCCAGCAGTTTCAGATGGGTTCGTTGAATATTCGCTATCACTTGTTTTCTGCTTTTTTTGGAAAAATCATTGCGGAACTCACCATCATCTCCCTTGAGTGGATCGTTCGCCGGACAGTTGTCGTTGATCTGAAAGGTGTAGGTGAAGTATAGGCTAAAGAGAAGGAAGCACAACATAAAAATGCCTCTCCTTAACCTCATGGTGATTGGTATTTTGTATCAAGGGGAATCGAATAGGTCTGGCCCTATTTATGCAAGTATAATATGGTAGCTTTTTAGGCTTTGTGTTTGTGATCCAAAGTTTAGGGATTTATATATAAAGAACCACAAAAAGCAGCTATAGTTATTACATGTTGCTCCAAAATCTATTGTTATCGATAAAAGAGTTTAATTGAGCAATTGTTAGTGACTAGTTCAATTGTCTTATTTCAAAACTTTTTTAGATGAAATTTAAAATAGTAATCACACAAAATCACGAATTAATAAAAGAGAATCTCTTTATTTATCCAATCGAAAGGTTTTCAGTTATAAAAAATTGAATAAATAGCATTGATTATAACAATAATTACTTCTTAAAAACTAACTTAACACTACTCATCAAAATGTCTTAATCATGGGTCTTTCAGGGGTCTGAATGAGTCATTCAACTTCCTTATTTTCTACTTTTATAACTACTATATTCAATTATTTGATTTATAATTTTCAGACAGTTATTCCCCCTTCAAATAAAGGTGTGTCTAACCATCTACTCTTTTTTCTCAGATTTTACCATGTAACTTATTCTTTAATACACCCAATTTGTCAGGCGTTCGTGCATCGAACATTTTCATAATTTTACATCTTTGGTCCAAATCATATCTTATCCTTTTTGTTAACCTTTTGTCAAATATGTGGGTGTCATTAACTCTTTCCAACAAAATCTGTTGATCGATCCATTTTTCGTTATTTTGTATACATATTTGCTAAATATTTAATAACCACATTATTACTCATTCTTTCCACATAATCATGTCATGAGAAAAGTTGACAACACTTTGTTGATTAAAAGTCAGTTAAGATCTGATAGTAGTTCACAAATTGAAAAGCGAAAGACTCACGAGAATCAATGTTTTCACGTCTATATCTATATCCATTTCTATATTTTACTAATAAAAGGCATATTGAGAAAAACTTTAATTACCTATTTTAACCCTAATCACTTACATATGGCCTATTATATCCCATTTTCTCTTTCAAGCATCATCTTTTCATATTCCATATTTATTCACAGTATATGGGTATTTTAATGGTATTCCGTTTAACAACTTTCCCTCTTCAATGAAGGTATAACTGCATTTTTTTGTGGGTTCTTAAGAATCTCTCAGTTTAACAACTTCTCTTCTACCATCATTCATGGAGAATAATTGTGGTAGTTTGGGGTTATTTAGCAGTCTCTCCATTTAATAATGGCTCTAGAATTTTGGAGGAGTATTAATAGACTGAGTACGGAAGTCATGGGTCTCACTTGAAAAACCTTCACCACATACACTTTCCCACGCCGAACTCTCAGTTGATTCCAAGTTCAATTTTAGAGCCCATAAAGAATCAACTAGAGACACCCATTTGACATATTCCATAAAGCATTGGAAGTTAAATTGTTGGAAGGGTTGGAAAAGGGTAAGCTACGGGTGGAGTTTGGCGAGAGCTGTTCGATTGAGGTCGGGGTTATAAGTATGGCTTTTCAAGGAGGATAGTTTGAGATGGTTTGCAGAATGTACGTACTTTGGTAGACATATATATATCCCATTCACATTAATATAAAAAGATGCTGAACCTTTTTTTTACTGTTTAAAGTGTAAGAGTTGCTAAATTTGTTCAAAAAACTCTTGTTTTGCAGTTAATTGTTAAGAACAAGATTATGCTTGTTGTTACCCTTATATTGTACCCAATGAATTCGTTCTCTTAAGTGTTAATTTCTGTAATGTATTCCTTCTAACTTCATTTTTGCACTTAATTTTACGGATATTAACCACTCGAGCACGGTGATTGCTACATCCACTGCATGAGCTTTAAGCTAACAACCTTTGTAATCTCTATTTTGTAATATAAAACCATTGCAAGCAGTATGCCTGAGGCTGTACCACTAATTATTTTGATGGGTTTCCATTTGAGGACCGTCGGATAGTCAATATGATGGCCTAATTATCCAATACTAAAGGAGATCTCGCTCCGATTATTTATATGTGCTTGGCAGACAATCATACTAATTTTAAGCATTGGTTCCTTACATATTTTGATGTGTCCTTTTAATCATGGGTTAGGAGCAAGAAGACATTATGCTTCTACATTTTGGACCTCATTGTAGAAACTTCGGACCTCTGGGACTATCTTGTTTATCGATTGGGGTTGTTTCGAGCCTTAATTTTTCTTGAAATGGTTTATTTTATCGACACAAAATAGAATAAAAATGTATGTTGACACTATTTTTTTATGATAATGTAGTTTGATGGAAAACAAGCTTATGTGTTTTGTGTCCTCAACCCAGTGAATTCCGAGTGATCTGCACCTTTTCAAATATATCCAATATTTTTACATCTATGCATCATTATTTATTCGTATTAATTTTTTGCGTCATGATAATCATATGATTATAATTATTATATTAATTAAATAATTTATTTGTCTTTTTCTGGGACATTTGTGACCCAACTGTGTCATTTACTATATTATTCTACTCATGAAGTAGAACACGAACTCACGAAAATTTATTTAAAATAATGAGTGGATCAACAATCAATAAAGTTATTAAAAAATGTTATTTCATTTTCAAAAAAAAACATAAATATCGATACGATACTAATTTCGGTCCGGTAGTGTTACTCCATAACAAAGGATAACATGCAACCTATACGAATAAATAGTTTTTTTTTTCGCCTGTAATTCGAATAGGTTATCAAGAAATGTCCATGTCGTATTGAATGAAAGAGCAATCAAGGCACCTATTTTTTTTCTCTCTATTTTCTTTCCACTCTACCAATCAATCCATAACATATGTCCATAACTACTTTTAAAATCGGCAAAGAACTACGTTGTCAAATTAGATGTTATATCAAAAATTATAATTTTATTTTTTTTAAATTTAATTTATAATTCAAAGAATCATGATCGATTATAAAAAAATAAATTATAATTGCTCGTGTATTCCTCCAATAATATTATTTTAGGTAGCACAATAGATTCTTGAAAATCAATGCCTACCTCGTATATTAAATAATACCCACAAATTGAGATCATATTTCAAACGTAAGCATACATCATAGATTGATTAAGCACCACAAAAATGAGGGTAGTTCTATGATACTGAAGTACAAAAAGATAATATTTTTATAATCAATTATAAGTTTCTATTATTTTTATAACAAATATGAATTATATGTATAAATTAAATTAAATAATAAATTAGGTGTTGA